GGAAGTCTTGTTTGCACTCTGCTGGCTGCCCAGGCTCTTTAAAGGACCACTATAGGCACCCAGACCACTTCAGCTCAATGAAGTGGCCTGGGTGCCAGGTCCCTCTAGGGTTAATCCTGCCTGCTGTAAACATAACAGTTTCAGAGAAACTTCTATGTTTACATATGGGTTAATCCAGCCTCTAGTGGCTGCCTCATTGACAGCTGCTAGAGGCGCTTCCACGTTTCTCACTGTGATTTTCACAGTGAGAAGACACCAGTGTCCATAGGAAAGCACTGAGAATGCTTTCCTATGGACTGGCTGATTGCACGCGCGGCTCTTGCCGCGCATGCGCATTCAGCCGATGATGTCCAAAGGAGGAGGAGAGTCCCCAACACAGAGGGAGCCCGGCGCTGGAGAAAGGTGAGTCACTGGAGGCTTAATACTATACTATACTACAAGTTTGTTTTCCTGGCACTATAGTGGTCCTTTAATGAGTCCTGATAGAATACAGTGTCGGAGTGTTCCTCTGACAGCCAGACATGCGAGAGAGGGAGGGCCCGGCTTGGAAGGATACAGACAGCCATCTGAGCTCCCTCTCTCTTAGAATGCAAGAGTACAATAGAATGGGAAGGGGGAATTTGTGGTCAATGGAAGATTGAGTACAATTATGTCTGAAACTATAGGCTCTAGCCACTAAACTGCCCAACGTGGTGACTTGAGAACTGATTTTAACATGTATTAACCCACTTAGAACAATTCCACAATAGGCAATTAAAGGGACACTCCAGGCACCCAGACCACTGCAAAATGACTTTCAATTTACCTGTGGCTGCCACGATGCGTTCTTGTAGTTCTTCATAATTGTCTCGCTGCCCTCTGGCGTCGGCGAGAATGCTGTGCAGCATTATGGGGAAGTGAAGATCGGCGCACGGTGTTTGCCTGGATCTGAGAAGACAGAAGGGCAGCAAGAGAACTATGAACTTTATCATTCTGCCGTTATTCTGTGTTCCTTGATCTCGGCTTGTCCCTGACTCTGCTTTAAATGCTTACAAGAGTGTTAACCCCACTGGAGGTTTTTATGTTAAGCCCAGTGATATGTATCTTTGTTTTCTTATTTTGTTCACATAGGTTTTGTTGCCCTGGTCTCTGCCTGTCTGGGTTATCTAATCCTGGCATTGCCATAATTGTTAAGTGAAAAGGATGCAGGTTGCACAACTGTATGCAACTATGAGTGTTAATATTACAGAAATTCTAGCACAGCCATGTTATATAACATATACAAAACAGCAAACAAAAACATTTGGAAAAAAATATGTATGCCAGTTCTGGATCCCATGGGACAGTCAAAATTTAGACTATTGTCCTGCCATTATGAGTGTGTTCCCTGGTGCATGCCTCCCAAGTCTGATTTTGTGGTTCTGTCCCACTTTAGATGGGTGACACCGGGGGAACTGTCCTCAGGCTGCCCTGTCCAATTAGACGTGCTTCGGCTGTGCAGTGTGCAATAGGAACCATGCAGGGGGAGCATTAGCAGTGCTCCTTTGAGGGTCCTGAAGGCTGGCTAGGCAGACTGTCAGTTGGCAAGCCCACCACTTTTTTCAGGCACAACCACTGCTTTTCCATGTGGCCTCGTTAAGCTTCTTGCGTGCCTGGTGATGCCCCCCTCAGGACTCTGCCAACCTGTCTCGAGTTGCAAATGGCAATATGCTGGAAAGTATGCCCTGGTGTCCCATGTCTAAAAAGACCAGGAATTTATCCCCACAAAGTGCATTACAAATGCATAATTAGAAACACTTCAGCCCATGTCAGAGTTCTACAGAAGCGTATCCATCCCCAAGTGGAGCTAGCCAGCAGTTCTGCCAGTCAGAATTATGTATAAAAAGGTAAGCAACGCCACTATTACAATCTGAAGTGGAAAAACACAAACTGAAGGTAAAAATTAAATTACCTAAACAGTCTTCAATACTGTAGATAAAATATAGGACTCCCCCAAGTCCTCAAAAGAATATATACAAACACACAATATCTACAGTGGAAAAAGGAAACAAAATCCTCAGCTCCCAGTGGATTGGCTGATGGCGACCACGGGAGTGGCTAATGAGGTTTAAAAACCCAGTTTAGTGCCATACGAAGAGTGGATGGCTCCCGTGATAGGAGCGTCACTAACTTATTATTACCCCTGAGGAAGTTCGGACCCATATCGGACGAAACGCGTAGGGTTTAGACATTTTAAGGGAACTTTTTCACTTTTATTATTATTAATTTTATTTTTATTTATTTGATGTTTTATGTGAGTAAATAAAGATTTGTGTGCTTAAACCGATTGCAGAGTGGTGATCAACAGGAAAGACCAAGACCTAAACTGGGTGGAAAGAACATCTATTTAATTTGTTGTGCCTGTATCCTACAGTAATCCTGTAAGTGTTTCTCATATTTAAGCACAGCTCTTCTGGTATTTTACGTTTTGCACTAGTATTTCTTTATTTTTGTTCCCATATGTCTGTCCATCTGTAATGAAGACTTCAACACCATTTGATATGCCTACAATCAATTTGTGTTTGTGAGTGCTATTTACACCATTTTATCTTATGGTGTTTATACAATATCACTCTATGAGGATTTTGTTTCCTCTTTCCACTGTAGATATTGTGTGTTTGTAAAGTCAGAATGATATGCATGCAGGCCATGCTGATACAACCACGTTTTGGTCAACCTGCCTACTTCTGTGTGGATTGGCCTCATTCCCCCCACATTGCTGCTCTGGATCCCATATTCCATGTGAGTTCTAATTCTGAGGATCATGCGACTTATTCCACAGTGCCAAGCCAATGGGATAGAGCACACTTATAGAGCAGGAGAGAAAGAACATCAGTGCATTTAAAGTGGATCTGTCATCAAAAATAAACTTTGTCTAATCTGCTTCTATACAGCGCCCTGTGTCTGAATCTCTTTTTATTTATTTTTCTAGCGCTTTAGTCTTCATAAAATACATGAGGAAAAGTACAGAATATTTATCCTTATGTATAGCAGCAAAGTTGTCAAAACGTGTCAATAGGCAAAGCTAGTTTCTGTTTCAGAAGCCAATTAAATTTACCCAACAATTCATCCAGTAAAAAGCAAGCCTACAAAATGGGAAACAGCAGAAATCATGGGCACAGGAGAAGAAAATGGCTGAACCCAGATATGGAGATCCAGCACAAGGAAGAAAAGAGAATAAATATAAGTCAAGAGAATCATTAAGATACTTAAGGAAAGGAACACTAAAAGATACCACAAATGGCAGGCCACTTTAATCACATCCCATTAGTGATAATTGCAAACGTTTGATTTCTGCGTTATTCACATTAGTCCATTTGCAAACTCCTGTTGCTTCCATCTCAAAAACAGAGCTCACATCCGCTCTAACCAATACTGGATGCAGCTTTGGTGCTCGTCCATAATGCCCTCGTCTACCGCCTTGACTACTGCAATCTGCTTCTTATTGGTCTTAGTCGTTCTCAGCTTCCTCCACTACAGTTAATAATGAATATCCTCGAATGTCTCCACCCTCTGTCAGTCCTTACAGCGGCCTAACTTGAAATATAGGGCCTTGCTTGCAAATAACACTGCTCCTGTCCACTTATCCTCACTAATATACAAGTATGTCCCATCAAGGCCCCTACGCTCTGCCAAAGATCTGCATCTATCCTCTATTCGTACATGTACCCCTGACTCTCACCTTCAACACTTGTTTAGGGCTGGACCATTCCCCGAAAACTCACTTTTCAAGAAGGCATATCATTAAATTGTTAACATCTTAATCTCTCCACCACTCACTAACCACCTTATCTCCTGCAACTGTCACCTAATAAACTAGGCCTTCTTTTTAAACTCTTTAGCAACCTCCTTTTACATATATAAAATACATTCTACCATTACCTATGGTGTTATTTTACTCCTCTCCCCTTAGAACGTCAGCTTGTTTGAGCATGGTCCTCAGCACCTTCTGTTCCTGTACGAACAACTTGACTTGTTGAGACTACTTGTTTGTTAGTCCACCTATTGTACAACGCTGCAGAATATGTTGATGCTTTATATATAGTATGTCTCTTCCAGAGAAGTGAGATTGTTATGTTCTTCCACGCCATTAACCCCTTAAGGACGGAGCCAAATGTACACGTTGTGAACAAAACAAAATGTAAACAAAACCTGGCATTTGCGCTACATGTTTGTCCAACTGTAATTCACCTCTTTCATAGTAAATACACCCACCCTTATTATATATAATTTTATTCAGGGGAAACAGGGCTTTCATTTAATATCAAATATTTAGCTATCAAACAAAATTTAATATGAAAAAAATGGGAGAAAATAAGATTTTTTTGTATTTTTTTAGTTCTACATGACATTTTTTTTTTTTTAATTCTTTATTTTTGAGTGCATGGATAGACAAAACAGCTTACTCTGCCACAACAGCGTTAGTAAGCATAGACATATCGTATTGATGTTCCATTTATGGCATTTGAGCAGTGCACATTTTTGTATATAGATGCATGAACAGAACATATATTTATATTGGTTAGGCATTACATTTAAATTTACTAGTTTAATCTACGCTTTATATGAAGAGTATGCATGCTAATCAAGTACAGTGCTTGCAAGTTAACTGTGGGAAACATAAAGTGAGGGCATTGCTAGATATGCTAGGTTATGATATAGGCCCCTGAAGTCTAATCCGCTGTGTTGCCGGTACCTGGCTAGTTTGACTGTATAGATAAGCATATCACTTATAAGTTACTCAACACAAGTTAAGGTCGCATTAGGTGGGCGACATAGTTCAACATGAAAGGATATGGCATACGATTAATATTCGGGCTATTCTACGCTGTAAAAACATGTTATAACATTGCTAACGTTAGTCTGTTTCAGGGAGGTCAGGCTTGAAAATATTGCGAGACATAGTCCTCTATAACTGCATGGATGTGGTGGCATGACAGCAGTACCGGCCGCAGTGCGGCAGTGAGAGTCAGTGAAAGTCAGCCTACTCCTGTAGTCGGCACTTGCAGGGCACATACTGGAAAGTCCCATGGGGCCTTGGCGTCGCCGATCATGGAAGCTAGAGGGACTCCGCCGTTGCCTCCCGGTCCTGTGTGAGTGCCTTGGGTGGTGGGGGTGTATGCTTTGTGGTGTGACAGTTTCTCTGCTCCCCATGCTGTTTGGCGAGTGTGAGACTCTGTGTGTCCCCTTGATGTGGAGGTAAAGCCCTTCAGAGTGCTGTTTGCAGCTGTGTATCGCTGCACTTGGGTAGAGTGTTGACAGGCTTTTTTGACTTCGCCTGGTGTAGGCCGGGTATAGGCCCCTTGAGTGCGCCATTTTAGTTTGTGGAGCGGCGGGCTGCGTTTGGTGGCTCTCCGAGCCTGTCGGGACTCAGGCTTGCAGTGTCGGGTGCTCGGTCTGCTGCCTTTAAGTCTGGGTAGAGCTTTTGTTACCTTCTGCAGCTTCGTGTTGGTTGGTGGTGTAGCTATGCGTTTCAGCGCTGGTAGTCTTGCAGGAGAGGTAGCGGGCAGTTGGGGTACCGCTGTGGCTGCTTGGTTTTGTGCCAGTATGGCCTGCCACCGTGTCCAGAAGAGGTCGAATGCTGCCGCTATGCGGTCCTCCTGAGGGTTCACGCTTGCCAGCTGCGCTGAGAGAGGTTGGACAAGTGGGGGCCTAGAAGCTCGGTCGGCAGTCACCATCTTGGCCTCTGGGTATGTGCTGCTTGCAGTCCTGGGAGCTTGTGGGGTTCTGTAGCCCTGTGGAGTCTGGACCGGGATGACCCCCGCCGGTCCATGGGGGGGGGGACAGGGGCCCTTAGTCGTCAAGGTGGCTAGTCGCGGCGGTGGGAGAGCGGCTGTCCTTCCCGCGCTCGCCTTGTGAGTAGGCTTCGATTGCCGGATCGGTGAAAGTAGCTTGTAGCGCCGTTTGTGGGGTATCATTCTGTTCTGCTTAATGTCCCCTTACGGCTGGTGGCCGTTGTGGCCTGATTAGTTGCTTTTGGAGCGTGAAAATTGCTTTTGAGTGTAGCTTTTTGCAGGAACTTGTGTGATTCACGTCCTCCAGGCTCTGCGGTCAGCTCTACATGACATTTTAACGGTCAATGTCATAATACTGTTTGCTTTTACTGCAATAAAATACACATATTTGTATTCAGCAAAGTCTCACGTGTAAAACAGTACCCCCTATGTACAGGTTTTATGGCGTTTTGGGAAGTTACAGGGTCAAATATAGCACGTTACATTTGAAATTGAAATTTGCCAGATTGGTTACGTTGCCTTTGGGACTTTATAGTGGCCCAGGAAAGAAATTTGGCATCCTGGTCCATTAATGACATATCATTTGCAATAGTAGACAATCCAAGGTATTGCAAATGGGGTCTGTCCAGTCTTTTTTAGTAGCCATTTGGTCACAAACACTGGCCAAAGTTAGTGTTAGTATTTGTTTGTGTGTGAAAAATGCAAAAAACGCCAATTTTGGCCAGTGTTTGTGACTAAGTGGCTACTAAAAAAGACTGGACATACCCTGTTTGCAATACCTTGGGTTGTCTACTACTGCAAATGGTATGCCATCATAGGGTAATTTTCATTCTTGGGCTACCATAGGGTCTCAAAGGCAACGTAACCAATCTGGCGAATTTGAATGTGAAAAAAATGAAACACAAGCCTTATATTTGACGCTGTAACTTTTGAAAACACCATAAAACCTGTACATGAGAGGTACTGTTGTACTCGGGAGACTTCGCCGAACACAAATAATTGTGTTTCAAAACAGTAAAAAGTATCGCAGCAATAATATCGTCCGTGTAAGTGCTGTTTGTGCGTGAAAAATGCAAAAAAACATCACCTTTACTGGCGATATCATCGTTGTAATACATTTTACTGTTATGAAACAGAAGTCTCCCGAGTAGAACAGTACCCCCCATATTCAGGTTTTATGGTGTCTAGGAAAGTTATAGGGTTAAATATAGCGCTAGCAAATTAAATTCCCTTTACTTTCGGCATGGGTTGTCAGGCAGGTCCCGCTAATGTTAATTAATTAACATACCTAATTATGTAAAAATATTACATAAATATATATGTAGAATTAATATATTTATATATATATATATATATATATATATATATATATATACGTATGTGTGATATATATATATATATATATGTATATATCTATATAATTTTTAAAAAATATTTTTATTTATATATAGGTATATATATAGTGATATATACGTATATATTTATGTATATAGATATATATATATTATTTCGTTCTACGTGTATTTTGATATAAATATATATATATTAATATCACACTACAGTTAGAACGAAATAACACACATCTATATATTTTTTTATTATTTTTTTTATTATTTTTTGAATCTTATTTTTTAACGGATTTACATTTTTTATTTTTTTATATTATATATAAATATATATATATAACAATAATTATATATATTTAATCAATATCAGTCTACATGTAATTGGTATTAATATATATATATACAATTATATATATATTAATAGTAAAATACACCTAGACAGTGTATGTGTGTGTATGTATATGTGTATATATATACTTAGATCATATATATATATATATATGATCTAAGTATATATATTTATTTTTTACACTTTTTAACTTTTTTAAATTTTATTTATTTTATTTCCAGCCAGCAGGCGGACCACCTGTCATTACAGGCAGCCCCCCTGCTGGCAATGCAGGAGGCAGCTATCCTGGCCATGTGATTGAGAGGCCAGGGGGTTGGACGTGCCGCTGGGGGCTCCCTGGGAGTCCCCCCAACCGCGATCGCCAGCGTGGGATCGCCGGCGACCGGGTAAGTAAAGAAAGACCGGAGGGCGTACTATTACGCCCGGCGGCGTTTAGAGCCGCCTAAAATAGGGTGTAATAGAACGCCCTCCGGTCTTAAGAGGTTAAACACTATTGCAGTGTTATTTGCAGTTTTATAAGGCAGTAGAAGTAAGTGAAAAACATACTTATTTCTACTGAATTTCTGTAAATGCACATATTAGACATGTGCGATTTGTTTCATTCCGAATGTACATTTGTACAAATTTCATGCCATTCCCGAAGTCCTGAAGCGCCGAAGTGACGAAGTTCGGTAGTTCGGAAGCACCTGAATCACTCTGAAGCCGATGTGATTCGGATTTCTGAAAAGTGGCAAAACAAGAGAGAGGGAGGGAAAATTACGTGAATGATGACAGGAATCAGGACCAATAAGATAATTCCTTTTGTGCAATGACATCATATCCTGTACACGTCACATCGCAGCTGCCAGTGGACCCTGAAGGACGTGTGAGTAAGTACTTTGCTCCCTCGCCACCTGGCATGGGATGTTTGTCCCATGCAGTCTCGCGCAGTCTCTACTGCGCATGACTGCATCAGACAAATATCCTTAGCCAATTATCATGTAGGATATATAAAGTAGACATGTGCAATTTGTTTCGTTCCGACAACATTCGGCAGTTCCGAAGTGCTGAACCGAATGCCATTGGTCCGAATGGCAGACACATTTTTTTACTTACCCGAATTTCCAAATCGAACTAAACCAAATTTTTTGCCCATGTACATCCCTAGCACATATGCACTCTGCATTTTTCCAGCAATGCAATTTATCAGAGTAAACTAATTTAGATATTTTGCAGGGCTTATAAATTAAAATAAATAAACTATAAAGAAATATTTTTTTTAAATAATCAGTAGTTAACTTTTTGTTGGCCACTGGGCTGTGCTAAAATTGAAGATGTGAAAGTTCCCCTTTGAAGGACAATATATTACATGAATGAGTGTAAATAAAAAGTGAAAATTGTGAAATTATAACAAAAGTTAAATAATTGCTTGACATTAACTCAGGGGTTCTGATAAAAAAAAAATCACTCACAAAGGGGCTAATACCACTCATATTTTAGGCAGCAAATGTATGATCCATAATAATACAAAGTATAACTTTTATAATATATATATATATATATCCTCGTTCTATAATAATGCACAGTTATCATGTATGTTAATCCAAATAAATGTGCTCTATAATAATATATAATAACCTATGTATTCCAAGCCATATATGTGTTCTATAATAATATATAATAACCTATGTATTCCATACCATATAATATGTGCTCTGTAATAATATATAATAACCTATGTATTCCATACCATATAATATGTGCTCTGTAATAATATGTAATACCCTATGTATTCCATACCATATAAAATGTGCTCTATAACAATATATGATAACCTATGTATTCCATACCATATAAAATGTGTTCTATAATAATATATAATAACCTATGTATTCCATACCATATAATATGTGCTCTATAATAATATATAATAACCTATGAATTGCATACCATATAATATGTGCTCTATAATAATATATAATAACCTATGTATTCCATACCATGTAATATGTGCTCTATAATAATATATAATAACCTATGTATTCCATACCATATAATATAATATGTGCTCTATAATAATATATAATAACCTATGTATTCCATACCATGTAATATGTGCTCTATAATAATATATAATAACCTATGTATTCCATACCATATAATATAATATGTGCTCTATAATAATATATAAGAACCTATGTATTCCATACCATGTAATATGTGCTCTATAATAATATATAATAACCTATGTATTCCATACCATATATGTGCTCTATAATAATATATAATAACCTATGTATTCCATACCATATAATATGTGCTCTATAATATATAATAACCTATGTATTCCATACCATATATGTGCTCTATAATAATATATAATAACCTATGTATTCCATACCATATATGTGCTCTATAATAATATATAATAATCTATGTATTCCATACCATATAATATGTGCTCTATAATAATATATAATAATCTATGTATTCCATACCATATAATATGTGTTCTATAATAATATATAATAACCTATGTATTCCATACCATGTAATATGTGTTCTATAATAATATATAATAACCTATGTATTCCATACCATGTAATATGTGCTCTATAATAATATATAATAATCTATGTATTCCATACCATGTAATATGTGCTCTGTAGTGCTCAGTTCAGAGCAGGCTTCTGATTGGTTCACGAGCTCAGCCTCTCCTTACTAAGGGAAACTGTCAGCTTTCCCACACTTCTCAGACAGCTCTGCGCCGACGGCGT